GAGAGGATCCAGGAAACACCATGACAGATGGCTAAAATGACAGGCTGGGGATAGAATGCTGAGGAATTGGGCAACAATGGCAGAGTTCCTTGGTGGCGCCATTAACAATAGTAGAAAAACTAAAGCTAAATCCATGGAGGCTGTCTGTGGGGGAATGAGGTGCAGATGGTGGTACCAAATGGCCTGAGATCACCATAGCCAGGAGGCTATTGGAGCTGTGGGAAGGAGACGACACTGTGGGCGGCACAGTGCACTTTGGTGTTGCTCAAACATATGAAGGGTATTCATGACAGAGACACAAAGCACATAACTAGCAGCAGGCTCAGCCTACCTTGAGGGTCAGCCTGGGCTTGCCCTGGAGGAAGCGGCTGCTGATCTGCCGCTGGATCTTCTCTAGGTCAAACTCTTGTGATGTTTCTCCCCCTTGCTGTACTTGGTACTGGCAGTTGGAGAGAATCAGTGGAGTCAGGTCCCGCTCCACCTCATAGCTGATGACGTGCAGGTCAGCAACCTCAGAGGTATCCACAGAATAGCTGCGGGACGAGACACATGCTTGGTGCCAAGAGCAGACACACAGGGACACTCCTGTTTCAGCACAGGTCAAAGCTGTATGTCTGAGGACTCTAGAGAGAGTGGCAAAGGGAGGTCAGGCTATGGATGGGAAAGCAACCATGGTCCATTGGCTTGTGCACACACCTGTTGTTTTCATTGGAGAACTTTTGAATGGTGTAGACCATTTCATTGTGTAACCTGATCAAGTAGCTGACTAAAGCAGTTCCACAGAGGCCCAGGCCCCGTCTCCGTGGAAGGATGACCTCAAATTCAGCATCCAGATCCAAGTCGGAGCGGCAGTAATCTTTTGGCAGCTTGATCTCACCTAAAAATGACAGGGTAGGTAAGCCTCAACATGAAGGTGAGGGGAAGAGGTGAACTGACATGGTCACCCCATCTAACACAGAGCAGGAAGCTGGTTTTTTTATTTTATTTTTTTAAGGTTTATGTTATTTATACAGTGCTTTGCCTGTAGGCCAGAAGAGGGCACCAGATCTCACTATAGATGGCTGTGAGCCACCATGCGGTTGCATGGGAATTGAACTCAAGACCTTTGGAAGAACAGCCAGTGTTCTTAACCTCTGAGCCATCTCTCCAGCTGAGAAGCTGGTTTTAATGTCTCACCTCTAACCAAACATACAAGTTTTCAGTGATCCCAGTTCTATCTTAAAACCCAGTTTTTAGATTCAAGAAGATGAAGGTTCTAATGCTGTCATACTTCTCCCAGATCCTCTGTAACGGCTAGTTTCATGTCAACCTGACGTAAGCTATAGTCAAAGAGGAGGGGGCCTCAATTGAGAAAATGCCTCTATTAGATCTGGCTCTAGGCAGGCCTGTAGGACATTTTTTAAATTAATAATTTATGGGGGAGGTACAAGCCATCATGAGTGAGGACATCACTGAGCTGATGGTCCTGGGTTCTGTAAGAGAAAGAAAGCCAGTAAGTAGTAACCCCTCATGGCCTCCGCATCAGCTCCTGCCTCCACGTTCCTGCCTTGTTCGAGTTCCTGTCCTGATTTCCTTTGATGAGGAAGGAATAAGTCACATAAACCCTCTCCTCCCCAACTTGCTTTTGGTTATGGTGTTTTGTCTCAGAAAGTCACCCTAACCAAGACAGCCTCCATCTGAAGACCCCTAAAGAGCATGCTGGGTGTGACAGGCAGAGCTGAGCTTCAGAGCACTGTGTGCTCAGCAATTCTGTTGTGACTCTGCTAGAGGGAGGACACTTACCATTGGTCTCCAGTGACCGTCTCAGTGCGTTCCATGTGGACAGAAATACAGTGACTCGATCAAATAACAGCTTTCTTAGCCCATCTGTTGAGCAAAGCATTTGGTAAGAACTACAACAGAAGAGCCAAGTTCTGACCCACACCAGCTCTTTGTATTCCTGCCACAGCTGATATAGCTGAAAATAGGGCTCTGCATCTCATGCTGCAAGCTTAATGCACAGCTCACCTGCTCCTGAGCCATGAGCCCTTATCTGTTACACACAAACGGTCACAGCATCTTGTAGAGCTGGGCAGAGTCCTACCTGAATGCTGACTGTTAATAAAACCTCTGATGGAGCTGTATTCCACTTCTGAAACATTCTGGAATTGTTTCACTAGATCTCTTTGCAGGGCTAAGATTTCAGGCAAGAATCTCACCAGCCTTAATTCCGCTTCCTACAGAAAGGAAGATAGTTTAGTATTGACGCCTCTGTTTCCCTGAGAAATGCTGTCTGGCATGTATATTTTGTAGGTATATGGGGGACTGATACTGCTAATTTAATCTGGTCAGTGTTCCATTTTTCATGGTGACCTACCACAGAATTTAGCAACAGGTGGAGGGCAACCCCATTCTTTGTTTTCTCTATGTGCCCACGAATGGCTTTACACACAGTGCTGCCACCCATAGGCAAACCTATGTGCCTTTGTGCCACATCAAAATCCAGCTGCCTTGAGGACTGAATCCTGTCTCATCCAGTGCAGAAGTCAAACTAGGGTGGACCAAATACCTAAATGTAAGTCCCAAAATTGCCAGAGGAACCAGGGGAAACAGGCTGGAGTGAAGAGAAGTTTCTGGACAGAAACATAAAAGGACCAGTTGACAGGTGGTTATACCAGACTGAAAACTTTCTGTTTAACAAAGAAGCAGTCAACAGAGATAAAGATTTGAAGTTGACCTTAAAAAGCCCTATGTATGTAAGAAACTCATAAGCTTAACAATAACCAAACAATCCCATTAACAGTGGTCAAATGATCCGAATAGATAATTCTTTTTTTTTTTTATGCTTGCTAAGCTACATCATTCTTTTTTTTCTTATTTTTTATTAATTACACTTTATTCATTTTGTATCCCCCATAAGCCCCTCCTTCCTCCCCTCCCGATCCCACCCTCCCTCCCCTTTCTGCATGCATGCCACTCCCCAAGTCCACTGATAGGGGAGGTTCTCCTCTCCTTTCTGATCTTAGTCTATCAGTTCTCATCAAAAGTGGCTGCATTGTCCTCTACTGTGGCCTGGAAAGGCTGCTCCCCCCCAGGGGAGGTGATCAACGAGCAGGCCAATCAGATTATGTCAGAGGCAGTCCCTCTTCCCATTACTAGGTAACCCACTTGGACACTGAACTGCCATGGGCTACATCTGTGCAGGTATTCTAGGATATCTCCATGAATAGTCCTTGGTTGGAGTATGAGTCGAATAGATAATTCTTAAAAAGAAATACAGATGGCCAACAAGTATGGGGTTTGATCTGGTGCTGTATATTCAAATGCCTTGAGATCTGGGTACCACCCAGCCACAGGCATTGTTAAGAATGCTGAACCAATTAAAAACACAAAACTGAACCATCTCTGGAAACCGTGTGCATTTCACCTGTGCTATGCTCCAGACTGCCTGATACTACTTTTCTCCTTGCACCTCGATACCAGCATCCAGTTGGCTGCCACAGCACAAGTGCTTCTCAGAGCTTCACCCCTAGGAGCCACTATTCTGAGCAAAGGGTTAGGGCTTCCTGGTCCTGGGACTGGTCTGCACAGAATAAGTGAGGTCAACCAGCAGTTACTCGTACCTTCTGGAGGAAGTGCCAGAGGACAGGCACGGTTTCTCTGCCGTTTTTCTGTTCCACAATGTGCTGCAGGTACTCCACTGTGATCTTCTTTCTGCAACTCCAAATCTTCGAGCAGTGAACCACATTTTTGGGGGGCAAGTGGGGCAGGAAGGTCGCTGGGTCCCCATATATGATTTTGGTCACAGGGTTGGAGCTTATGCGTTCATCTTGGCTGATAAGAGCATTTACAGCTGGCAAGGTTTGGTCAAGATGCTGGTGATGAAAATGAGAGAATTCTAGAATTGAGACATTGCTGCACCTGCGAGGCTGGGAAGCCTCACAACTGTATGGTGCCTAACCTCCTTTCCTTGCCTATCTCGTTGCTGGTTTCTGTTATCATCTAAACACTTCCTTGTTTTAGGGTTTTGCTTCCCTGGATACAGTGAATGCAAGACTAAAGGCCATCCTCATTGCTTGCCTTTCATCTCCTCACTTTATTTCTGGAATGCTTTGTTCCTCTCAGTGATGTTCTTGTCCGACAGTATCTCATCTGCAACTGCTGTGCTTCCTAGTGGGCCTTTCTAGGACAGTAGGTCTGCTTCTCACCCTCACATTCAGCTGCCTAAAGTGATGACAAGCAAGCTGAAATCTGAGGCTCAGATGAGGCTCCTGCAGTCCTTCCCCAGCAATGATGGATAAAGCTTGCTCAGCAGAAGAGTGGGAGACCCCTCCTCCTAACCGAGACATAGGCGCTAAGCGACAGCTCACCTCCAGTTTCCGTAGAAGAAGAGTTTCAAAGTACTTCTCCCAGTCGTTTCTGTGTGCTTTGGTTAACAAGTCCACATTAAAGTCTAACACTCCTACAAATAAAACAGTATGTGGGTTACCCCAGAATGAGATCCATAGCATCTTACATTCAGTAAGCACCAAATAAGTGCCAATCAAATGTTCTATTATGAGGAAGTACTTTCCTGCATTCCCCAAGGATGCCAACAGCGCCCGATGCAATCATCTGCTGCTATTGCCTTTGTGAAGACAGCTCAACCTCAGACAATCACTGACCCTATTGCTGTCCTCATGAAACCATACTGAACAAAGTACTAAGGACAGAACTTTAAACCACAAGCCCAGGAGCAGTGACAGGACAGTGGCCATGTGCCACCACCGGCCACTCAAGTAGCTATCCCCAGACCAGGACCCATGAAGGTGGTTTTGCCAAAACAGGTTTTCAATGAAAAGAGGTTTTACTAAATAGCCCTGTAATGCTGACTGGGGAGGAAGGCCCTAAGTGAGTGGGTTCTGTTTGCAGGCAGCACTTTTTATTGTATATTATTTTAAAATAACACCTTGGACCAGAAGGTTGGGATGGGGTTAAGAGCACTGGCTAGCCAATCCTGACAAGCCGAACTCTATTCTCAGGACCTGAAACATCTGCATTGCAAGAGCTGCATGGGAGGCGATGACAGGAGAGTCTCCTAAAACTCACAACCCAGCAAAAAGAAAGACTCGGGATACCACTGCTTTCTCATTGATGATCTGAAGAGATTCCTGCAGGACTCTGGTACAGCTGCAGAGAAATGTTTCCCTATTGTGTTCCAGGCCACAGCACCACCCAAATTAAAAAAAAAAAAAACTTTTTTGCAGTTAAGAAAAAGACATAATAATGCCATCTTCAGAGGTTAAGAGCACTGGCTGTTCTTCCAGAGGTTCTAAGTTCAATTCCCCGCATCCACATGGTGGCTCCCAACCATCTGCAATGGGATCTGACTCCTCCTTCTGGTGTGCGTGAAGACAGGGCACTCATATACATAAATCAGTCTTTACAAAAATGATTTCATCTTCAGTGAGATATCATCCTGCATGCCCTTTCTTGGTAGATTTAAATGCTTAGGACAGAAATGTTGTAATGTGGTGAGCAGAGCTTGCCTTTTTTCCAATAAACTGTGTGCATGTAAACTGTACAGTGTCAACTATTAGACTAATATACAACCCTGGAATTTTTAGTAAAAACCAGAAGCAAAGCTAGTGACTGATTTTTTTTCCTTTTTATGTTTTGAGCAGGATGTCTCTTTGTAGACAGGCTGGCCTCAAACTCACAGAGAGCCACCCGCCTCTGCCTCCCTGAGTGCTGGGATTACAGGCCTGCACCATGCCCAGCATTAGTGACTGATTCTTGGACGTGATTCTTGACGGGCATGTCTCCAACACTTGCACTTGTGTGTGGACACTCCAAGTAGCACAGGCACGTGGGCCTTCTTAGGTAGGTTGGTGGCTGGGGAACACAGGAACCTCTTCAGCATTCCTGTAAGGGTGCATGCTCCCCTACCCATTCATTCTGGTTTTGTTTGAAGGATTTTAGTGTGAAGCCCAGACTGCCCTTGAACTCACAGTACTCCTAGATCACAGGTCATCAAGCTAAGCTCAAGTTTGTGGTTTTCACTCACTCAGGAGTCATGGGAAGTGATCCCTCAACCCAGCTTAGCCCTTGCCCCCTTTGCTTACTCTGGCCAAACACGGGGTGCTGATCCTTGAGCAAGCCACCCAGGAGGAGGTGTACCACATGGATGGTCTCGTCTGCACTCCTGCCCAGCATCTTGGTTAGCTGTTCCAGGTCTCTCTGGGTATGCTGCTGTAGGAAGCCTTGTGGGTCCTGGACCCGAGGAGTAATGATTTTGATCATGGCCTAGGAGTAAGAGACAAAATGCCCAGGATATATCACATACAAGAGATGAAGAGGCCAGGAGAGGCCAGGAAGACACTGATTTGTCGGTGTAACAGGAGAGCAAGGACAGGCAGAGGCCGACGTTGGGGTCCTCTGAGAGCAGAAGACCAACCTTGAACTCCTTGTCCTCTTGGCTAATACTAAAATGGGGAGACGCAGCAGGAATGACCTTAGCCTGCTCTCCATGCTGCACCCTGAGAGTGATAGCTTGTACACAGGGACATCAATCTCATAGGTGCAGAAACTAGTTGGTGTCAGTTTAAGAGGAAGCTGGGCAAGGGATCCTCTGGAGCATCATGAAAGTATTAATAAAAAGTGGAGTGGATTTTAAATAATCTGAAGAGCACATCATCCCATTCCCGCCATGTTGGAAACTGTTAGGAGACCTTAGGTTTTTGTCCCTTGGCAGACTCCACAGGTACTGGCCTGGTGAGCTGACAGGAGACAACAGAATGTTCCTCTAGAAGCTCATTACAAATACCTGGGGATCCTGGGTGGCTCCCACAAGCATAGCCAAGTGAGTGAGCAGCCGGGTGAGAACAAAGGTCACTGGTGACATCCCTCGGTCAGAAGCCACTGCAGCACCACTGGGCTGGGGGCTTCCCAACACGTGGCCAGTCTTCGTTCTGTCCGCAGTGTCACTGGAAAAGAGCCACGGTGAAGACTGAAAGAGGCTGATCCTCCCAGCTCATCTCCGACCCTCAGGAGGAAGGGTTCCATGCTTGGAGGAAAATTAAAGTCCTCCTTCTTCTAGGCCTGGGATGTCTGCCTATGTATCTTTTCAGATCTACCTTCTAGCTGACCCCCCAAGACTCAGTTTAGAGAAGCTGCATGAAATGGCTGCTGCTGTCCCGAAGAAGGCATCTGTCTCTGGGCACCTGGAGTTTGCCACACTTTGTACCCAGGCAAGTACTTTCCACATTCCTCTCATTGTCCCAGTAACTGGGATGCAAGGTCTGGAAGAGCATGCTGCATCTGTAGGGTGGGAGGTACAGCTGTGCGCATTCAGCTGCGGCCAGAATATGGTAAGCTTTGACTAGAGCAGAAGTACAGCGCATACTGCGTTGCAGACAGGCCCACCAAGCACTAACGAGGGAATGGGCAGCTACACTTGGGAGCTGGGCTTTTATCTAGACTGTGAAGTCTGCTAGAACAGGCCCTTTGGCTCTCCAGAGCCAAACAACTGCAAACCACAACCAAAGGTTGGCCCTCTTCGAAACCACAACCAAAGGTT